AGGACTTCCATTTAGCTCGATTTAAGGTGGTTCTGAATGATGGTTGTTCTGTAGTTTAATTGTAACTTTGATGTGTTTGTGGGAGGAGGTAATACCACATTTACCTATACCCTCTGTTGGATTTTAAACAGAGAAAATAAAAAGGGTTATAGCTCCTTTTTTTTTTTTTCCTTTTCATTTGGAAGTTGCCACCATGGAGAGACATACTGTAACATGTTCTGTTGCCTAATTGACAAAGCTGCTTTTGAATGCTGGTGGTTCTATTCCTTTGACACCATGCACTTTTATAATATGTGTTAATGCTGTATGACAGAATGCTCTGATTCAGTGCATATAACTGAACACGCTCATCCATTTGTGCTCCTTTTTAAAAAATGGGTACTTAAAGTAAAGAACCTATTATTTGCAGGTCATCCATGTTGGTTAGGCATGTTATCGTTAATCAGATTGTTTGAGAGTGGTGGTTTGTTTTATGGTTTTTGTATTTGTGTCTAATGCATGTTTTAACATGATGATGTAATGCATTATATAGCTACAGTTTTCTGGGAAAGTCAATCTTTTAGGAATTGTTTTGTTACCAGACAGGGTCTGGGCCCAGAGCAGGTCTGCCTCTGGCTGGCCAGTAGTGTGTGGGTTCTTGACTTCATGAAGGAATGATTTCACAACATGAGTCCTAGTGATTTTGAGATGTTTATTAAAGCTGGGACAGTGAAAGAAAGAAGGGGCTTAAGGTAGAAGAAGCAACAGGAGAGAGAGCCTAGGTGGGCGTGCTTTGGCTCACTGAGAAATAGAAGTCACAGTGACAGAAGTGAGCCAAGAGGGAGCTGCTGTTAGCTCACTGGAAAGTCAGGGAAAAAGGGGGCCTTAGAGATAGGTCCAGGGGGTTAGCCTGGGACCAGCTACTGCTTCCTGCTGCTTCCCTGGTTGCAAGTCTCATGGGGACCCTGAAAGTTTAGAAGAAAGAAAGCTGACTCTTCAATCAGTTCTTTATCTCCTTTTCCATTTTGGAGGGAAAATAAACCAACCTCAAGCTTCACGACACAGCCATTCCTTTGGCTGTGCTAATTGCTTACCTTTGACCTCATTCTAATTAAAGTAAATTTTAGATCTAAACGCCTAACTTCTACTGAGAAAAAAATGACTGTAAAAAAGGTGCTATTTGGAATTCAAAGTGCTACCTAAACCTTGTGGATTGTTAGTTGGTAGGAGTTGTATAACAGGCAGAAGTGTTAGATTCTATCACTAGGCTGCGAGAATTGTTTGTATGCCAGCCTGGAACTTGAACACAACTGCTTCTTCTCTCTAAACAAAATACACTAGACTTATTTTTCATATGCATTGCAAAGTGAGAGGGATTGCTAAAAATGGGGATTACATATAACTTTGGGAAACAATGGCATTATTTGGGTAAGCAGAGATTGGTATTTACAGCTTTGTTAACAAAATGTTAATAAAAACACTTGTGTGTATTTTTATTTTTATTTTTTTGGTATTTATAAGAAAAATGACATTTGAAAAGTTATTTTGTGGTATAGAACAACCATGAAAATGTATTATAGTGGCATGTTGTGATTATATAGACTGTATATCCATGGACAAATCATATCTAGAAGACTTTAAAATTAATAAAATAAAACTATTACAATGTTAAATCAGTTCAATTTGTTAGGTCTAGAATCAGCTTTCTGTTCTCAGGTATAGAGAGCTGGTTCCCAGCTTGCATTTTCAGAATTCCCTTCATAATGGTAAAGAAAAGTTTGGTCACCAATTTCTTTTCTTGATTTAAATTTCTAAAACACACTAACCAGATTTTACTCTTTCCCCTCTACTTAACAACCTATGTGTAGGAAAGTAATAATTGAATTATGTACAAAACACAAGTAAAATTCTGTAGAGAAGCAATTTTTTGAAGTCTTGAATTATTCTCTCAACTAGTCATATAGCCTTTTAATTGACATATTATCCCTAAACCAGTTTTGATTTTCCACATTGATTCAAGCAGCCTTCTACATTTAGTTGAAAAGTCCATGTCTGCTCCAAAACATTAGATAAAGTGCAGACTTATTTCTCTTAAAACTAATTTCTAGCTATTTTAAAAGTCTGCCCATTAAACTAATAATAGAACAAAAGAGTTGAAATCATTGTCTGAAGAATGAACCACATGTTCTTATTCTGAATTCTCTTTAGAACCAAACAAGTATACATCCTAGAAGGATAAAAGTTAATATTAACTAAATAAAATACAAGGCTCATAGTTCGAACTCTTTGGGCTGAAAGTTAAAGAAACTTGCCTGGCCGGTGTGGCTCAGTGGTTGAGTGTCCACTCACGCACCAAGAGGTTGCCAGTTCAGCTCCTGGTCAGGGCACATGCCCAGGTTGTGGGCTCCATCCCCAGTAGGAGGTGTGAAGGAGGCAGCCAATTGATGTTTCTATCTCTCCCTCTGCCTTCTTCTCTCTAAAAATCAATAAAAACATATATTTTTTAAAAAAGGAATGTTAAAGAACCTTAAGTGAAAAGTAGAACTTTAAAGGTGCCTGAGTTAACCTTACTATGGAACCTAAAGACAGGAGGAAAAGACAAGTGACTGGAAATGCATTTGGACTTACTGCAGACCTTTGTCATTTTTTCTTTCTTTGCAGACAGGTGAACTCTGACTTTTTTGTGTCTCCCATGAAGTGACCTCTAGAGATTGCCCAGTATCTTTGTCTAAAGATGAGGAAGAGAGAACCTAATGGGCCCAACTGGGGCCATGTGACTAGGTATGGCCAGAGAGGCCTTCCCCTAGTTCTGCTGCCAACGCCCACTCCAGAGAAAGGCTGGGAAGGCACTCAGAAGTGTTTACTACAATACAGCTTCCATCAACACATCTCCCTAGATCCTGTCCATTAAACAAGCATTTATCTGCATCACAGGTAATTATAGTTATTTTCTGGTGCATCTCTGCCCACTCCTTGCTTCACATTTTATGCTTCAGCAACAAAGAATTGCTTATAGTTCCACCTATCTATTCTCTACTTAGCACCCACACCCCCTAACAAAATCAATGAATTTCATGCCTAAATTCATGTGGTCCTCTGTATTTGTATTGGTCCCCTTCCAATTCTCTTTATTCTTTAGGAGTCATGCTCAGTGTTACCGCTTCCAGCAGACCTTCTTGACATCTTTGCCTTCCTGAGCTAGTTTTCTTCTTTCTTTATGCATCATAACATTGTGCAGGTAAATCTCTACCATTATCAAACTCCATTGCTTTTAATTTCCTATTTCGGTTTTGATACCTTTATAACCCTGGACACAGTGAGCCTGGCCTACAGTGGGCACTCCAAAGTAGCTGATTGAATATCTCTCAAAGTTTCCTTTTAGTTAATTATTTGACTCTCTAGAGTTAAAAGAGTGTGTCATTGCATGAAAAGTATTGTCTGCATGAACCCCTTAGAATTGTTAACTTGTCAGAGAATTAGGTGTCGGGAAGTTCTGATCAAATTCCTCTTCAGGGAATTACAGTCAGCCCACCAGCTGAGATATGCCTGCAGTTTACCCGGTGTCCTAACCGGATTATTTTCATATTAAAGCTTCTCCTGGGTTTACCCTCCCTTCCTTTTGGAGGTAATGTTGATCTAGTAAGAATCAGTGTACGAAATTATTTTATTTTTTCTACATATAAACATTATTTTTCTAAGGCAATTTTATTAACTACATCCTGCAGTTCTGTGGACTTTCAACAACTTTAATTTATAAAGTTCGCCTTGATTTTCAGTCCTACAGACATACACATTTTTCTTAGTCTTAAAGCCCATCCATCTATACACTCTAGTCCTGAAAAGTTGACTCTGCATCTCCCAACTTAGCATTAAATGCACTCTTCTGCCCACCTTCCCTCCCCTTGACATTTTATCAGATAGAGAAACTTTGGTCGATCCTAAAAGGAAATTTTGCAAATGGTTGACTTTTGTTAATCTCAGGGTTTGAGAGGAGTGGGTAAAAGAGCATTTCCTGAGATAAGAGTTTTAAGCTGAGTTTCCTCTCCAAAATAATAATAATAAATAATTAAAAACAACAGCAAAAGCTCCAGGAACCCCCTTGGGTACATTGGGGGCAGGCAGCCCCGCAAGTCCTAATAAATGAATTAGCATCTCAGAAAGGAGATCACTGAGGGGCTGATATTGATCAAGGTCAGCGGGTGTGTTTGCCTGCGTTTGTTTGTGGGGTGGTTAATTGCGTGTCAGTCTCGGCCTGTGTCGTCTCGCTGGCGCCGAGTGCTTTTTGGATTTGCTAATTTTCGTTAAGTGTCTCTAGCCGACTGCTCGTCCCCTGTCTACCCAGGAGAACTTAGCGGCTCCTACTGATCAACAGTCTGTCTGTCTGAGCTTTATTGATCACAGAGCAGGCGGCTGGAAGCGGATGCGCTGAGGGGCGGGGAAGGCTGAGAGCAGACCCAGGGCCCGGCCGCCCCCCGCTTCCTGGCTCCGGAGTGGACCCCCCCACCGCCACTCGCCAGCCGGCGGGGCTCGGCAGCAGCGCACGCCAGGGACCGCCACTTATCCCTGGGGCTTCCAGAGCGCGCAGCGTGGCGGGGGCGCGGGGGGCTTCCAAAGGCGGCCACTCGGGTTCTTCGCGTGTTTCAGGGGGAACAGAAAAGAAGCCACAGGCTGTGGGACGCTGGCCCAAGGCTGAGTTGTGAGAAACAGACCTAGTGGCGGGCTCGACGCGCGCCTCCCTAAAGTCAGGAACTCGCAGGCCTCCGCTAGGGGGTGCGCGGGAGACAGCGGCCGCCGGGGCCCCAGGCCAGACGTCTGCGCCGCTAGGAGCCGCCGGCTGGTCCCGCCCCATGGGTGTGGGATGATTGACTTGAGCCTGGCAGCCAATCGCACGGCGCTGGTGCGGGCCCGGGGGCGGGGCGGCGCCGGACCGGCTCCCGGAGCCCAGCGGTATTTACGACGCGCAGCCTGGCCGGAGGAGGCGCGCCCAGGCGGGAGCTCGCGGCTGGCGGGTTCGGTGCGCGCTAGCCTCCGCAAAGTGGCCGGCCAAGAGGGAGAGGAGCTGAGAGCTCGCCCCGGACTGCGGCGCCGAGCGGAGCGAAGGAGCCGGAGCCCAGAGTCGGCCAGCGGAGGCCCTCATCTCCTCGGCACGCCCTCCAGCCGCTTTCCATGCTCCGGACGCTGCCTGGACCCTCGCCCCGCGGCTGACGGCGCCCGCCTGCCTGGGCAGCACTCATGCACTGCGCGCCCCGGGACTCGTAGGCTGCAGCTGCCCGCGGCTCCGGGACCGGTGGTGGCTCCGCGGCCGTGGGGGACGTCAATGGATCGCCATTCCAGCTACATCTTCATCTGGCTGCAGCTCGAACTCTGCGCCATGGCGGTGCTGCTCACCAAAGGTGGGTGCCCGCCGGCCGGCCGGGCCGCGCGGGGTGCCCGGGGGGCCGCCGCTGCGAGCCTTTGAAGCCGGCTGCCAGGGCTTTGTTAGCGGCGGGCAGGGCTTCCTCCCGCGCCGGAGCCCGCAGGTCGCGACAAGTTGCTTGTTCTTAGACGTCGCGGCGGTGGCTTCGCGGCCGACTCCTCGGCTGTCTCGGGCCGGCGCGGAGGGGCAGCAAGTGGTTGTCAGAATGTTTGTGTAAGTCTGTCTGTAGTGAACTTATGAATGTTTGCGGCTGGGGAGCTGGGAGGTAGTGTGGACTCGGACGCCGCCTCCCTCCCCACCCCGGGGCGGGGAAGCCCTGGAGGAACCGCAGACCCCTGCCCCCAGTCGCACCGAGCCTGAGCGTGTGTCTGTTAGTGAGTGTGTCACTCACTCTATTCGAATGTTTCGGTATTTGAATATATCTCTGTATTTGAGTGTCTTTGTATTTGAATATATCTGTTTATTTGAGTGTGTCTCTGTTGTGTGTCCGTTTGCCTATATCTATCAGAGTCTGTCTCTGTATTTGAATGTGCCTCTGCCCATGAGTGTTTCTTTGTGTCTCTCAGTGAGTGTCTTTGTGAACCGGCGCGTGTGTGTGCCTCTTTGAGTGTAGGTGTCCGGGTGTGTGTTCCGTGTGCAGGAGTATATGCCGTATTTTTCTGAGTGACTGGGAGGAGTTGGCTCTGTCAGTGGTTCCGTTTCCCACTCACCTCATGTTATACAAATACTACTAAAAAACAAAAGACATTGGTCAGTTTCTTTTTCTTTTTTTTCCCCTGCAGGCTTTCACCTTTTAGTTTGAAATAACCCAAACTCCCATCTAGATTCCAAGGTTCCCCCACCTACCCTGCCATGAACTACAGATACTTTTTCTTAAGTAGGAAGTGTTGTTTAGCTTTTGCACCCCCCACTTTTCTCTAATTGCCATGTAGCAGGCTTGAGGTTAAAGGATAAGCCAGCCCAGCAAGGATGATGTGCTACAGTATTTATTTATTTTGGAAGGAAGGGTGTAATTAACCCTAAATAACAGCCCTCCAAGCCTGCAGAGGGGAGCCTCCTGGCCCTATCAAAGGCGGGCAGAGCAGGGAGGGACTGAGGCTGACATGAAGTCACAGATACCGAAACTATGTGCCTGATAATGATATAATTAGGGGATCAGAGATTTCTGACTGCTGCTGACTTCAAAAGCTTTAAAAGAAGCCAGCAGTCTCTCCTGTAGCCATCTTGACTAAAGCAGACATTTTTGTTTAATCACTACATACAGTAACAAGAAAAGGGGGAAAACAGAAGAGCATTGTTCACTGTTTCAAAATACCAGTCCCCTTTCTGGCCTTTTGCATGCCACAGGAAGAAACATTATGAAATGACAGAAATATAGTTTTAATACAGTAATACAAAAGTTAATTCAACTTGCTCAAATGTGGCTCCAATTAAAAAAAAAAGTTGTTAGAACTTTTCCTAGTTACCTGTCAAAATTTTATTAGACTGTTTTAGGTCATTGAAAATATAGTATGTTAAATAGGCTGTCAAACATTTAAGCAGCATTTCACTTTTTTTCTGCATGAGGTCTGAGGTGAATAGGATCAAAACTGTTAATCTGTTTTATTTCAACCGTAAGTCTGTATGAGGAATTTGTCAGACTAGGACATGTAGTTATCATCCATCACATAAGACTAGTGAGCTTATGCAAAAAATCAAATAAGCTGGAAAGTCGAGAAAAGAACCTCTGCAAAGCAAGCTCCTAACTTGAAGGTCTTACTGGAGAAGGGTCTTGGGCCCAGACCCAGGACAAGGAGCACAGATTTAGAAATTTAGAATAGAAGCAAGACCTCTAGCTTTGGATAGTTAAACTAAGCTTGCCAAAGATATATATACAGTTGGCTAGTCTTTTTAGAGCTGAAGCCTTAGCAGCCTCTGGTGAAAACTGAGCATGCCATATGGTGGCCTGGAATTTGGACAGATAATTAAATGAGACACCTTACTCAGGCATTCAGAGAGGAGGAGAAGAAAAGTAAAGGTTGGGAAGAGGTGTTCAGTTTCAGAGTAGAGGTTTCAGTAACTAGACAGAACTTCAGATTGGGAAGCTTGGGAGAGGTGTGTGCGTAAGTTCAGTTTACAGTAGCGTTAGCTGTGGCATGTGACAATGACTGGAGTCCACTGGGTTGGAAATCATATTAGTGATAACTCTGAGACCAACATTATTTCAACTAGAAATTGATGTTAAAAGCCTCAGATCTTGCATTGAAGCAAAATGTTCACAGTGACTAGGAAAATAAGCTTTATAAAGGAAACTTTAATCACTTCCTGTAGAAAAATTTGAGGTTTCCTTAAGGATTTTTCATTGAACCAGCAGAGGATTTTCAGATTCAGTGTTTCCCCTTTTAGATCCCATGTTGAATTACATGTAAAACTGGGGAGTTTTAGGGGAGGAGAAGTTAGCCTTGCAGTTTTACACTCTTCCCTCCACCCCCAGATTTATGACTTTCCATTTGGGCTGAAAGAAATTGACTTTGGCAAGCAAACCACTAATTGTAAACTGCCTAGTTCCTGTTTTACAATATACTAAAAGCTCCTCTGCATGAAAAGATCTTTATAGGCAAAGTTTGCCTTTTCTAGAGAGGTTGCAAATAGCTGCCCAGTTTCATAGTTTTAAAACCTCCTGACTGGAGCAATTTCTAGATTGTTGTGTTTCTAGTTAATAACTTTATAAGGTGTTAGCTAAAGCTCTTAAATCTTGGCACAGCCCTTCGAGGTAGTAAACAATTCAGTAGTTCCGATCAAATATTTATACTGACAAACTCAAAAAGCCTAGCATTTTCGTGTTGTATGGTCATGTAGGATTAAACGAGTAAATAATATAATTTACCTTATGGTAGAGGAATTACTGTGATTTATTATTTTCCTTCAAAAACAAAAGTATTATTTTAAATTACTAACTTAACAGAAACCTACAATGAACTTTGATTCTCTGCTACTGGGATTAATACATTTCTAAAATTGTATTTAGCTGGATTGAAGTTAAAGCACAGGCTTTCACAAAGGGCTTTCCTAGTCTGCATGCCCTGCTGTTGTAAGCACTCAGCTGAATATTCTAACAGTTAGTGTCTTTGAATTTGGGATTTAGCATTCACTTAAGCAGATGCATTATCTGGTCTCTGAAGCAGTTTGATGCAATTTCTCATTGTTTTCAGGTGAAATCAGATGCTACTGTGATGCTGCCCACTGTGTGGCAACTGGCTACATGTGTAAGTCTGAACTGAGTGCCTGCTTCTCTAGGCTTCTTGATCCTCAGAACACAAATTCCCCACTCACCCATGGCTGCCTGGACTCTCTCGCAAGCACAGCAGACATCTGCCAAGCCAAACAGGCACAAAACCACTCTGGCACCGCCATGCCCACATTGGAATGTTGTCATGAAGATATGTGCAATTACAGAGGGCTGCATGACGTTCTCTCTTCACCCAAAGGGGAGGCCTCAGGTAGGTAGAAGCCCTTTCTAACCAAAATGCTCTCCTGATCTGTATAGGTTTGTTACAGCAAATATTTTGTATGTCTGCTATTGATTTTGTTGTTAATATAATTAGAGACAGCAGAGGCAGAAGAATGGCTGGATGCAAAGATGCATCTCTATTGAGTAGCTTTTATGTCTGCCTGAGCATTAGATGTCTGTCTACATAATAGGTTTTGCCTGTTTTTTCAACATTTGGAAGACATTAAAAGACCATTAATACTCTGTAACGATAGACTGTAAACAAATGTTTTTGTAATCTTTTTTGCAGCATTTATTTTCTAAATATTGTTGATTTAATTGTAAGCTATTTATTGGGGTGCCTGGTTTAAAATGGATAGATGAGCATAAATGTGTACAGGAGGGGTTAACACAGTTTTTGCTTGTGCTTCTTTAGGACAAGGAAACCGGTATCAGCATGACAGTAGCAGAAACCTCATCACCAAAGTGCAGGAGCTGACTTCTTCCAAAGAGTTGTGGTTCCGGGCAGCAGTGATTGCTGTTCCTATCGCTGGAGGGCTGATTTTAGTGTTGCTTATTATGTTGGCCTTGAGGATGCTGCGAAGTGAGAACAAGAGACTGCGGGATCAGCGGCAACAGATGCTCTCCCGTTTGCACTATAGTTTTCATGGACACCATTCCAAAAAGGGGCAGGTGGCAAAGTTGGACTTGGAATGCATGGTGCCAGTGAGTGGGCATGAGAACTGCTGTCTGACCTGTGACAAAATGAGACAAGCGGACCTCAGCCATGACAAGATCCTTTCACTTGTTCACTGGGGCATGTACAGTGGGCACGGGAAGCTGGAATTTGTATGACCGCGTCTTATCTGAACTGAGCTTGGACGCTTGAAGGCCTTTGAGTTACGCTGGACAGGAGCACTTTATCTGAAGAAAAACAAACTCATGTAATCATCTTTGAGAGACAGAATGACCTCTGCAAACAGAATCTTGGATGTTTCTTCTGAAGGATTATTTGCACAGACTTACATACAGTCAAATGTATTTTTTGCTTTGAAATTATAAAGAGCAAAGAGAAGACTATGTACACACTGTTACCAGGGTGATTTGCATCTGAGGGAGCTGGAATGAGTACCTAAATAAACTAACATATGCTCTATGTAAGCTCCTACATCTTGATTTATTGTAAAGATTTAAAAATATATATCTATATTTTTGTCTGAAATTGAGCAGTGTCTTGTCATAAATTAAAAACTAAATGGGAAGTGTAAGAAGCTACATGTTAATTATACAAATGAAGATCTGTTGCTCAGAGTAGGGTCTTAACTATAGGATTTCGCTTGATCTTCCTTCCTTCCATTTTTTTAAACAAGACCAAAATCTTGTTTATTTTTATATGCGCATGTGTAACTTTCTTACAGCATGTAGAATTTCTAAATGGACTGCCCATTATTTAGCGTCTTACCCACATTTTTTTGTTTGGATCATTCTGGTTGTTAACTTTAAGAGAAATCTTAAACATATTTATACCAGGTCAGATATGATTGATCTGTTTCTGAAGTTGCCTTAGCAAACGTACTATTATTTATCAACTTGATCCACTTGCTTTATAATACTTTAAAATATGCCTACCTCCAACCAGGAATAAAAAAACATAAATGAAACTTTTTTGTAAAGTTAGTCACTGCCTATTTCTACTGTTTATTCTGTCTCAAACTGAATTAAATATTTTGGACTCCAAGTTAGCCAAACTTTATTGTACCATATTCCCAGTTTTCAAAACTTCTTTCAGCACAGTGTTATACTAACATTTTATTTTATTTTTTACTTCTCAATTTTTAGAAAGGTTTTTCATAGTGAACACTGTATATCAATTGAGATTTAAATAACACCGTGCTTCTAGTTTTCCTCCCCCAAATGATCCTTGTATTAACATAACCAAACAAAACATTGACTTTAGCCACTAACTTAATACACCAGTGTTTCCGCTCCTGTAAGACTTGATGTCCGACAACAATGCCCAGCCTGAATTTAAACTCATGCCACGTTTGTGTACTTTTCTCCCCAAATGGATCTTTGTTATCTTAGATGAGAATAATTTGCCATTTAGGGTTTTTCCCCCCTCCATTCTTTTGTATATTTGAAACTTTTGCTTAAAAATGAACCTATAGCCTGCATATTTGAGTATGGGGTTTTCTTTTAAGAGTGTTAAAGGATTTAAAAAAAGTAGTTTCTGGAATATTTTATGATGAGTATAATTTGGGTCCCTTAAGATAGATGTAGTAGCCAAGCTCATGGAAGAATCTGAATTGAAAGGACTAGTATAAAAATGAGTACCTAGATTATTTAATAATTAATAGACCACAGCCCAAACAAATTAGGCTATGGAATAAATATGCATTTTAATAAATGACAGATTTGTTTTGTGCTTTTTGAGATTGACAGTTTGTACATTTGTGACTTAAAAATTTATAAAAGCTGTTAAGTTTTATGTGTGTCAATTTTTGAGGGAGCCAAAGAATTGCTGAGCCTAACTATCCAAACCTGTCTGGAGAAATGAATTGATCAAAATTGCCATTGGTGAAATTTCCACCCCCACCTTCACTTTCTAGTTCTAGATCAAATAATAGTTTTTCCACTTAGATCGAAAGACTTGCTCCTCTGCCTTCTCATTTCATGTACAGCACTATATGAGCTGGGCTTTAAAAAAATTTTTTTTGTTTTCTTTATTGGTTTCAGAGAGAGGAAGGGAGAGGGAGATATAGAAACATTGATGAGAGAATATCGATTAGCCACCTCCTGCACGCCCCCCACTAAGGATTTGTCCCACAGCCTGGGCATGTGTCCTGACTGGGAATTGAACCAGCATCCTCTTCGTGCATGGGTGGATGCTTAACCACTGAACTGCACTGGCCGGGTGTAAGTAGCCAGCCTTTATATCAGTTCCGTAGAGTTAATTTTCTTCTGCTTGCCCTGCTATTATTCTCTGTTCATCCCATTTCTTCTAAGTACCGGGTAACTAAGAACTCAGTAATTCATTAGGAAATACAGCAATGAAGGATTTAAATTCATGTTCTTCGAAACACTTGAAAATCAGTGCACCCCACGCTCTAGGAAAGGCCTGGGTCCAGGCTAAAGGTAAAATCACAGAACTTTACTGGAAGGTGAATGCAAAGTGTCTTCACTTGGTTCTATGTGCTCTCACCCGTTTGTTCTTTCTCCTGTAAATTCATGAGGCTGTTTATACCTCCCTGTGCAGTGGGTGGTGGCACTGTGCCCATGCTCCGGCAGACTGGGTATTCTGGGACTCATGTCCTAGTCACTTATAGATGGGTCCTGTCTCTTCTGCTAATAACAAACAATCCTCTTCTTTTAAATCCTGTCATTTATTTAGTATTTGCACGTCTTAAAGTCAGATCTAGGCATAACTCGGTCTTTCAGTGAAAATATTGCACGTTTCTCAACTTTGATTTTTACTGAGAACTAAATATAGATTCTACTTTTGCTTTCCTATGAGAGTGTAGAAGTTGCCAAGAGCGGAGATAAAGGACCCTTCATGAAATAACTACCTACCTGATTCAGTGATGTAAGAATGGTCATGACTGGTTTATTTGTTTTTCCCTCATAGAGATGTTTACTGTTATTTTGGGGTGTCAGTACAAGGCCGGGCTAACCAGGAACAACCCTTGTTTAATATTGACATAAAACTCCCCCCAAAAGTAATTTTCCTTTCTAAGTGTAAATTTGCCCAAACCAGAGGCAAATGGAACCACATTTGTCATGTTTCTCCATCTATACCCCTTATATTCTACCCCTTTTTAAAAAAATTGATCTGTACATGGTTATGTCTTTTATGTTATTTCCCCCCTTATTTTGAATGGCTCAGAGCCTTTCTAGAAATTGACTAATGAGTCTCCAATTTCTGCTGAACTGGTTTTATTAAAACACCACACGATAGAGGGTTTGACCTTCTAAGATACCAAACATGTCTGCTTTAGAAAATCACAAAACTCTCCTCTGAAGAGCTTATAAATCTGGGTTCAGCGTGGGTTGGTTATAGGCTACAAGGTTGAAAACAGTGGCATCTAGTGTGAGGGGTCTGAAACTGGCCTTTTGGGGACCAGGACAGCTTTTTTCCCTTATAACCTCTGTCTCAGTTCAAATAACTAAACCTCCAAAAGTTACCTGGTGTGATGAGGCTGAACTCACGCAGGGTAGCAGTCAAGCTCACTTTGGAGTCTCAGCCTGGGTTCAAAGGCTGTCTTTGTCCCCAGTGATGTGTGAACATGGGCAAATAACTTAAGCTCTTAGAATACTAAGTTTTGTTACCTATGAAATGGGATCAATGATAATACTTTATGAGATTATTATGAGGAAATAGTGGCCCAACATCTCTCAAAATTTGAGAACTTGTGCCTATTATTTATTCAGCGAATATTTTTACTTGATTTTTTCATATTTCAGATCTTCGCATATTTGAGATTTGCGGCCCTTTAGTCACCTACAGGCTGGATTTAGTATTTTTAATATTTCTTTCAGTTTACTGCTTTTAGCCTCTTATATTTACTAATTATATTGGTTTGTAATTATTTCCTTTTGGAATAATCTAGATGGCTACTGATAAGAACATTGTAACTTTATGTCCATATTTTGTTTTTGATTTTTTTGTATTTGGCAGGATGAAGTTCTTTTAGAGCTTTGGCTGTTCTGGATGGTTAATCCATGGACAAAACCAAGAGTCAGGTTAAATGACAGATAATGCTTCAGAATTGTTTGAACAGTTTGTGTCTGAGTGATGTGTTCTGGACACGTGCTGCCATCATTTACAATTTGCCCCACAGGTGTTCCCAACAAAACACAAATATTTCCAAAACTGGTTTTAGCGCTTTGTGAATTTGGTGGTGGTGATGGGGCTAGTTAGTGAAAAATCCATTTTATTTCCCTGGATGAAGTTAATTTAGTTAGTTACTCTGTTGGTCACCATTGTAATAGCAAAAAGAACTGCTCCAGACACCAATACGTTCTCTCCCTCCACTGAATTCATTCTGTCAGTGTCACCCTCACTCCACTGACTTAAGAAAGAAATTGGTGCCCTGGGCGGTTTGGCTCAGTGGTTAGAGAGTCGGCCTGCGGTCCAGAGAGACCCGGGTTTGGTTCCCGCTGAGGGCATGTACCTCGGTTGCAGTTTGTCCCCAGACCTGGTTGGGTTGTGAGGGTGGCAACCACTCGATGTGTCCCTTTCACGTCAATGTTTCTCTCTCTCTCTCTCCCTCTCACTGTATCTGAACAAAAAATGGAAAAATGTCCTTGGATGAGGATAAAAAAAAAAAGAAAAAAGAAAAAGAAAATTGGTGATCTGAGATTTTGAGAGACAATGAAATAATGAAATGAAATGATCTTTCAAATTTCTACAACTCTTTATTTGGGGTAGTTTTAGATTTTACACGTCTTTGTTAGTTTGCTAACACACCACCATTCTGCAGCCTAGTGGTATAGTTCACTTGCCTGCCATTCCAGACATTTGGAGATGGAGGTGGTAAGTGGACTTTCACCAGATAGGGGTTTAATTCTCGCAGGCAGCAATTTTTCAATGGATCTGCTTTGGGGAATTTTGAAGCATTTATTACTAAGGGATGCCTACCAAACATATTTCTGCAAACTTTCCCCATTCTATGAATATGAAAAGCATAACCAGAAAGGCATTGACCCTGTCTTGGGGTATACTTTGGGTTTGCAGTTAGATAGGCATTTGTTATTTCTCAAGACTTAAGGGATTCATTCTACCTGGAGGCCAGTAAGCAGATGGCCTCTCAGGAGCTATTTCAAATTCTGTTTAGTTACCTACCTATACCTTGAAGATTAGATTGATGTTGGACTAGATCTGAGTAGAACCCTGGAAAAGTGAGTTGCTAATTATTTATTGCATCCCACATGTATCCAGATATGCCATACTAGCCCATAGTCTTTGTAATTCTGGAATGATGTTGCACTTAACAGTTTTCAAGGCAGTGTGTAAGTAGATGATGGAATTTATGAGCAGTCAGCAATTTGTTTTTAGACATGTGAAGACTACGTTAGTTGTGACGAGTTAATAAAGTCAGAGGCTGTTGTGTAAATTTACTCTGAAAGATCTCACATTACAAACCTAATGGAACAAAAATTGTTGTAGCAGTTAAAACCAAGAGAAATACAGAAAGCTCTTTATCCTTGGTCTCTTCCCCTTGGAACTTCCCCAGAGAACTGATGAGGACAGTGGAAAAACACCACACTTGCAGAAGCAGTCTCTTACTTTTCAAGTGTTAGAAGTTCACTTTGAAGAACTTTTTACTAAATTTAGTGGATGTGATTTTGATACCATAGACTTCACAGTTGACTTGGTAAATGGGGTATTCTCATCTGGATTTAAGGATTAAACTGTAAACTCCCAGTGTCGGGGAACTCGGGTCAGTAACCTTTGAATGTGTCCATAATCCAGTCAAAGGAGAGCGTGAGACGAAGGACAGATTAAGGCCTCTTGTCATCAGACATCTGAATTCAGATTGTCAGGAAATACACAAATGCTTCTTTCTCATTTGTTTCTCGACCCTAAACTATTGTTTTATAGATTTATATATATATTTTGTGTGGGACGCCTAAAGGACGACAAATTGCTAGTGAAGGTGTTACCCAAAAGGGGACCTGGCCCTGGGCAAGTCTACCTAGGGCCAGCCAGGAGCATGTGGGCTCTTGACTTCGTGCTGGAAAAAAATTTCACAACATGAGCCCAGGTGAATTTTAGAGGACGTTGATGAAAGCTGGGGACAGTGAAACAAGGAAGGCCTGGGGAAATGAGACCAGGCTGGGCTGCTCTGGCTCACTAAGAAGTCAGAGTAAAGGGGCCCTTGGGGACAGGTTAAGGGGTTTGTCTGGGACAAACTGCTGCTGCCCATTGCTGCCCTGCTGACAAGCCTCCTTAGGGTTCAGGAGGTGTATGACTGTGGGGTTAGAAGTTGGGGAGAACGCGGGTGTGCTCCTGGGAAGGAGAGGGAGAGCTGTGTTCTTTGTCTTGAGGTTTTTATTTCTCTCTTGCAGGCAGGAATCTTAGGGGTGGTCTCGGGAGGGTTTCAACAGAATAGTCATCAGTTTTCTGGGTGTGGTCCTTCAGGGTCTTGGTCCTCTCTGACTGGTCAGTGTCAGGGCAGGGAGTTGCTAGTCATTGTGGCTTGTCCTGACGTTCCCACCTGGTTTTGCTGCTTTTCTGGGTCTGGGGCTGAAATACAATTGAGGCCTAAATGTTATTTCCAGGGAGGTGACCTTCTTATCTGCTGTAAATTGCTCTGTCAGTTTGTTCAGCTATCTGTCTCAGTTTCCCTATTCCACCTGTCCGAGCTTACTGGCCTGTCTCAAAGGGAGTTGAGAAACAATTCAAAT